TTAAAATTATTATTATTATTTTTTAAAAAATTTTGACTCAAGGAACTAACCAATAGAATTTTTTTTTTATTTCTTTAAAAATTAACAAATTAACAAAATTAATTTGAGAGTTTGGAACTTCCACAATCATTGTTCTTAAAAAAATCATTCTCCTTATATATATATATATATATAGATAGATATGTCATTAAGTGTTAATTAAAAAAAGGTAAATTACACTGACCTCCCCTGAGGTTTACCTTAATTACAGGGACCTCCCCTGCAGTTTCAAAAATAACACTGACCTCTCCTACTTTTGAAAATAATATACAGATTCCCCATTCCTGTTAAAAGAACATGGACAACGTTAAGTTGACAGTTAAATTGACGTAATACCCTTGAACCATATTGTGAAAAGACACAACTGACCCTTCAACTCCCATTCTTTTCTCTCAGCATGGCAGTTCTCTTCTCTCAGCTTCCCTTCAATCTTCCTAGTTAATTTCAGTTGAATCCTAAACACAACAAATATATATATATATAGTGGGAGAGAGAGAGAGAGAGAGAGAGAGAGAGAAAGAGATAGAGATTTAGAGAGATAGAGATTAAGGAAGGGGCAAATTAGATCTGGTAACCCCAATCAAATCCCTAAATTAAACACACAAATTAAGGAAGGGGCAAATTAGATCTGGTAAATATATATATAGAGAGAGATATTTGGAGAGATAGAAAACTGGGTGAACCAATTCACCTTATAGAAAATAATATACAGATTCCCCATTCCTGTTAAAAGAACATGGACGATGTTAAGTTGACAGTTAAATTGACATAATACCCTTGAACCATATTGTGAAAAGACACAACTGACCCTTCAACTCCCATTCTCTTTCTCTCAGCTTGGCAGTTCTCTTCTCTCAGTTTCCCTTCAATCTTCAACCCAATTCTTCAATCTTCCTAGTTAATTTCAGTTGAATCCTAAACACAACAAATATATATATATATAGAGAGAGAGAGAGAGAGATAGAGATTTAGAGAGACAGAGATTAAGGAAGGGGCAAATTGGATCTGGTAATCCCAATCAAATTCCTAAATTAAACACACAAATTAAGGAAGGGGCAAATTAGATCTGGTAAATATATATACAGAGAGAGACATTTGGAGAGACAGAAAATTGGGTGAACCAATTCACCTTATATATATATATATACATATATATACACACACTGTGTGTATATTATATACACACGGTGAACTAGTTCAAAGTCGCATTCCAAGCCTTCAAGCTCTGGATCGCTGATCACGCTGCATTACCACTGCCTTGTGGCGGCATTGGGCGGAGGTTTTGAAAGGAGAGGCGTCGGGGCAGTGGAAGATGACAGTGACAGCGACAGCCACTGCGTCCCAGTTGGCAGTCCGGAGGTAGCCCCGTCGGAGAGTGTACCACCGCTCGCGGTATACATCGATCAGAGCTAAGGTAGTATTAGAATATATAATTGAGAGAGAGAAAGAGAGAGAGAGAGAGAGAGAGAGAGAGAGAGAGAGAGAGAGAGAAGAGAGAGATGAATGAGAGACTATATATATATATATATATATGGGTAAATTACACTAACCTCCCTTGAAGGGTAGTATTGGAATTTGAAGAATAATTATGGATGACATCAGTATCATCTATTTGAATTTGGACTGATGGGTAACAGAAGGGGGTCCTTGTATATTAGTTTCAAAAGTTAGGGAGGTCTGTGTTATTTTTGAAACTGCAAGGGAGGTCCCTATAATTAAGGTAAACCTCAGGGAGGTCAGTGTAATTTACCCATTAAAAAATTTTGGATTTTCAAATCTTATCAAATTTTTAATAGTTAGAATTTTAGAGGGATGCTTAAATGCCCATCTCTATCCTTCCCATTCAAATCCCAATCCCAACCCCAACCTCATCTCCAACCTCATCTCCATCTCTACCTCACTGGCGACCACCCTTACACTACCTCTTACCACTGCGATCGATGACCTCCATCCCACCGAAAGCAAGGTTTAATTCAACAGAGACACAAAAAACCCTTTCGAAGCTCTTATCTTCTCGCTCTAAGCATTGCTTCACATTGTTTTCTAGAGAAAGAGAAATGTCAGTGAAGAGGGCTCCAAAAATGGTGGTGTCACTAGGTGTGTTTTGGAGCTTCTTAGTTGGCAAAATATTATCGTTGTTGTCTTATCTACAGCACGATCTTCAGTCAGTTCCTCTATCTCAGGTTAACCTACTCTCTGTGCGCACAGTAACCTCCTCCAACGCGTCAAAGCCGACGGACCAACCCCACCAACGTACCAACTTGTCATCGGCTCTAAGAATGCAAACCCAGATCCTAAGTGAGAGCACAAGCAAGGAACACCACATTGTCGCTGCGCCACCATGGTTGTAATGGTTGATTGCCAGTGAGGAATGGGGGTTTGAAGTGTTTCTGGATATGGGTTCGAAACATTTGATATTCTAGTTGGTGAATGTTGGGTTTTCCCAAAGATCTCTCCGGGGAGGACAATGAAGACAGTGATGGGATCTAGAATTCTTCTTGTAAGCCAATTGATTGAAAATAGTAGTGCTAGTTTTAGATTTTTGATTAGAAACATTGGATATTCTAGGTGATGATTCTGGGATTTTCTCTAGAGGTCTTTCTGGTGAGGAAAATGAAGATAGTGATGGGGATCTAGAAAAATGAAAAAAAAAAAATTAGGCTGAGTGTTGTGGAAGGGGTCGCCGGAGTTGAAGGTGAGGTCGCCGATTGAAAAATGAAAAAAATTTAAGATGAGGATATATTTGGGATTATGGTAGGGGTATAAAGGAAAATGATGAATGTAGCATTTTTGTTTGGGGGTTTCAAAGAAGTGGGGGCCCTAAGAAGAAAAGGTTGAGGCATTTAGCAGCCCTCTTAAGTAATGATTATTTATTATTTATGATTATTTATAAAGGAACATGATGATTTGATATTTATTTTGATTTTCAAAATTTTAAAACATTAACTTTCAAATTTAAAAAAAAATTAAAAAAATGTGCCAAAAAAAAAAAATCTAATCAACTTGTTTAGTTCCTATTTCAGGTTTTACTTTTCAGAAAGATTAAAACTTTTTATTTTTTCGTGTTTTTTTTGTTTTCACTAATTTTTTTTAATATTCTAAGTAATTTTTTTTTTTAATTTTTAGAAACCAAAAACATACATACATATATATATATATATATATAATCGAGCATTTAGTATATTTTTTGTATTCTTGTGCTTTTATTATTTTTTAAAATATTTTTTAGATACATTTAAGTAATGTGCATTAAAAAAATTTAAAAAATTAAAAAAAAACTTGTTTAAAATTTTTAAAATATTCACTAAAAATTAAAATATATATATATATATATATATGAAAAAATAAAAAAATTAATTTTCAAAAAATTGAAACTAAACACACTTAATGTTTTTTTTTTTTGAAAATATTGAAAAAACTGAATTATTTTTTTTTTGGTGCAAAACTGAAAATTTTGTGTCTATAAAGGAGTGTGATGATGGAACATTGATGTGCAAAACTAACAAAAAAATTAAAATGAAAAAATTGATAATGTTCTTAGTTTTAAAACTGAAAAAAAAAACTGTTAATATTCTCGACTTTATTTGATAGTTGAATCAAACAAATAAATAGAAGGGCAAAATGTTTAATCTCATGCTCTTTTTTTTTTTTTTTTTTTTGTCATTAGTTAGTGAAACAATTATTTAGAACATTACTATGTAAAATTGATAATGTTCTTAGTTTTAAAAATTGAAAAAAACTAATACTTTTAACTTTATTAAATAGGACTTAAAGATTCAAAAAATCTTAAATAGGATTTAGGCTACCATAAGATTTGTAAATAGATTTTTTAAGTAATTAACTCTACTATAAATTAAGCAAATTCAAATAAGATATAACTCAAAAAATAAGTGCATGAAAACAGATAGATAATCACTTAGGCACATACCTAACAAGATTTTGAAATTTTTGTAATCACCTAGCACGTTTCAATCACCTTTTGCGTCTGTATGAACAAATAAATAATTCAAAGTATCTAAGATAACTAGCTAAACATTGAAGTAAGAATAATACTTGGTAGCTCGAAAATAATTGGCCCGAAACCCAAAACGACGTCGTTTTGGTTTTTTTTTTTTTCCTTTTCTTTCTTTCCCTTCCCTTTCTTCTCCGAGACAGACAAAAAGATAGAAGAGGTGAGAGAGAGAGAGAGAGAGAGAGAGAGAGAAGAAGAAGAAGAAGAAGGAGAAAAGATGGAGAGAAGGAGGAAGAGAAGATGAAAATGAGGAGAAGAAGGGGATCTGTATACACACCGGTGGGTGTCTCTCTCTCTCTCATATATATATATATCTGTTTGTGTGTGTGTGTGTGTGCGTGTGTATAGATCTGTGTATACACACAAATCTGGTGTTGATGTTGATGATGATGATTTGGTGTTGATAATGATGATGATGATCTGGTGTTGATATTGATGATGATGATGCGTAGATCTCTCCCTCATATATATATATATATATATATATATATATATATATAAATATGTGTGTGTATAGATCTGTGTATACACACAGATCTGGTGTTGATGATGATTTGTTGATTCTATAATTTTTTTTGTGATTGTTGGTTGTTGTTGATGATGATGTGGTGGTGTTGATGTTGATGCTCTTCTTCATCTTCTCCTCTCTCTCACTCTCTCTACTCTGTTTTTTTTTTTCTTTCTTTCTTTTTTATTTGAAATGAAATGTGTGAGTTTTGTAACAAGGATGACCTGTAGAAAGAAATGGGGGTGGGTGTACAAAGACCTCGGGCCATACAAAGAAATGGGGGTGGGTGTACAAAGACCTTAGACCTTTCGAGCTACAAAACGGAACTGTTGAAGTAAAATGGAGTTTTCAAACAAATTCCATTTCATGTGGTGGAGAGAGTGAAAGCGAGAGTGACGACAAGAGGCCAATTTTCCCTATTCTTGGAACTAGTATTGATAGTGTAATTGTTTTAACTACTCTTGGAAGAATAAACTAGAGAAATACCAAAATGTTAAGGCCTTCCTAAAGAATTATGGATCTCTTGCTCCAAAAAGGTACACTTATTCCGACATCAAGAAAATGACAAACTCCTTTAGAGTTAAACTAGGTCAAGGAGGCTATGGTTGTGTTTTCAAAGGAAAGCGAGAAAATGGTTGCCTTGTGGAAGTGAAGGTTTTTAAAGGATTGAAAGACAACGGAGAAGAGTTCATTAATGAGGTTGTAGCCATTGCTAGGGCTTCTTATGTTAATATTGTAAATCTTGTGGGGTTTTGTTTTGACGGTCACAATAAAGCTCTTGTATATGAGTTCATGCCTAATGGATCCCTTGAGAAATTCATATACGATAGGAATTCCTTGACATATCGCCAATTGGGATGGGAAGCATTGTACAAAATTGTAGTTGGTATTGCTCGAGGATTAGATTATTTACACCATGGTTGCAAAATGGGGCTTTTGTATTTTGACATAAAGCCTCACAATATTCTTTTAGATGAGGACTTTTGCCCAAAGATCTCAGATTTTGGCCTTGCTAAACTATGTCCACAGAAAGAGAGTATCGTATCACTATTGGGTGCTAGAGGGATTACTAGTTATATTGCCCCAGAAGTATTTTGTAGAAACTTTGGGGGAATTTCACACAAGTCAGATGTCTACAGTTATGGAATGATCATTCTAGAAATGGTCGAAGGAAGAAAGAATATTGATGTCAAAGTTGATCACACAAGTGCGATATATTTTCCACATTGGATAAACAAGCGACTTGAGCTGGATAAAGAACTTGGAGTGCATGGCATTATGAATTATGAGGCAAATGAAAGTGCAGGGAAGATGATTATAGTTGGCTTGTGGTGCATACAAATGGATCCCTCACACTGGCCATCAATGAATAGGGTGGTAGAGATACTAGAAGGAAGCCTGGAGTCCATGCAAATCCCGCCTAAGCCTTACTTGTCTTCTCCCCCAAGATCACCACCAGATTCTTCAACTATATTCGTGTCATAACATTGTGTGATTCACAATGCATACTTCTATTGCCAAGGTAATGTGCACCGGTGAAAATTAGGTAAACTGTATCTCTCTTTTGCTTATGTTTGACAATTGTGATTACTACAATTCTGATTTTTCGTAGGGTTTAAAAACTAGGTACAATAAAAAAAATAAAATAACATAAAAAAAATTCTGTAATATCATGAACCTCTACAAATAATATTAGTATACTTATTTCATAGTACAATTAAATCAAGATCTAGAAAATTGTTTAGAACAAAAATAGCAGATGTTTTTTCAATTTGATTGCTTCCCACCAAGGTATTCAAATTGGGGGATAAGGCTACTTCACTTTAGACCTTAAATTGCTCCAAACAGAGTACACCCTATTTCAAAGGCAAATGTAGAGGTTAATAACAATTTACATGTTTTCTATAGTCAACCTAATCAATAAATTGATAGAACTTTGATGAGTTCTATTAAATTTGAAAATTTTGAGTCCCCAAAAATTTCAAGGCAAGCCTAGTACCAATGGTTGAGGAAGGGGAATATGGGGATTGCTGCTGTGACAATTGCTCTGAGGTTTTTGAGGATTTATTTTGAGCCTATTTTAATTATTCAAATTGCTCATATTATGTCAAGCCCTCAAAATAAAACATATAAACCCAACATTCTTGACATGCATAGACAAGAGAGTAAAGCATATTTCCCATTCATCAGAGTATTAAGTGCAAGAGTATTACATGTTGACATCAAAAGTAAATGCCCTACGGGCTTACAACTTTCCAAGTCAACACTTGGTTACAACAAAAGAAGAGTTCTAACTTTTTATACAAAATAAGCCCTTGGCTTGATTTACATGTAGTACAAAATGATAACAACAAAAAGGTCTTTCAGCCTCTAAGCCTCCCAAGCTACGTCCTTGGAGGTGGCATATCACCTGAACCTGAAAATGATGTCCCATATAGGGTGAGTCAAAGCCCAGTAGAGATATACTAAACCAGATATGAGCAATAACTAAAACATTAGCATTTGATAAATGTTTAACTCATATAAAAAACATACAACTCTTTCATAACCAATTCACATTCACAAGTATATTTCAATCCCTTTTCATTTCATTATCCAAACCAATTCATAGATATGGTTCTCTGTTCATCAGGCAGTTTATAATGAGACTACAACTCATATTAACAATGCTTCAATACTTCAATTTCAAGTGAGATTCAACTCATATTAACAATATTTCAATACTTCAATTCATCTACGTTATGCAAACGTAATTAAGATTTCAGGACTTTCACCATGGACACTCCGGCCAACTTAGTTATCACTGGAGTCCATCCCCTATCTCCTCCCAAATCCGGTTTAGGAGTACATCCCCTATCTCCTCCCAAACCGTGGAGTGCATTCCCTATCTCCTCCCAAACAACATACATATACAATGTATTTAAACACTTATCATATACAATGACCACGCAAAGCATATATTCAATATGTTATTCCATCCGTCACATTCAATGACATATTCCAGGTGATTAATTTCAATTTTCCCTAATCATCATACAATGTCTACAACAATCAAGACTATCCTCCACCGATAGCCCAAAGCAGTTGTCTCTAAACAGATAATAAACTTATCAAACAGATAAAATATTAACATTTTCGGAAGTGAGCGATTTATTCATCCACTACACCATTCAATCCCATAATTTCCCAATTTCATGATTTTCATCTCAATTTCATGTTTCCATATTTACCAAATTAATTCTACAAATTAATCAATCAAAATAAATTAGGGCGTCCCCCTCCTTTCTCAAATATTGCACCCAAGGCCAAATTTCATCAACCATACACAATAACTTCATTTTAGGGACCACTCATACACTTGGAACCCCAAAAATAGAAAATCCCTATTTTATAATTTCAAATTTCAAAAGCCTAACTTCCCAAAATTTTCATAACTCACCATTTATACAAAATACATAACATCTATGTCAAAACTCATAAAAAGAAGTAGGTTATCCCTACCTTAAGTGTAGAAGACGAGCCTAGCAAGGGAAGAACTCCAAACATGCCGAAATCACTTTCCACTCGGATGAAAATGGAGGTCTTGAAGAGCCCAAGCTTTTTAATGAAGAAATGGGGGTAAAGAGATCACTTGATCTTAGCTAAAATGTAGAGAGAGAGAGGGTATTCTAGAGAGAGAAGCTCTCAGATTAGGGTTTTGGAATGTTTTAGAGAGAGAGAGAGAACCAAAGAAGTGATTTAAAATGACACAGTCGCGATCTAATATACGTGTTGTCCGCTTGAGCAGATAGTAAGACACTCGAGCATAAGACACAAAATCTTTACCCGCTTGAGCGCCAAAAAGATCAGCTCGAGCACCAAGGCACAACAGCAAAGCACTACCCGCTCGAGCGCAAGATACCCGCTCGAGCGTAGAATACACTCCCCCAGTATTTTTACAGTCTTCAGACACCCGCTCGAGCGCAAATATACCCGCTCGAGCTCATACCCGCTCGAGCGTAGGAATGCCGCTCGAGCGTGAAAAACACTTCTGCAGTATATCTGCAGACGCACAAAATGCTGAAAGGATGCAAACTCCGCTCGAGCGCAAAAAGACCCGCTCGAGCGGATCATCAAAAATCTGGGCAACAAGATTAGAGACTAAAACTCATCCAACCAGTTCGAAACACGCCCAAAACGTCCTAAAACTCATTTACCAAGAATTAAAGGACGGAACGAGACATAAACAACAATACTCAATCATGGAACTCAAGTCCGAAATTTGTACATAAAGGGGAAAACCCGGGATCGCTATATATTATAGAGTTTGTCGAATATATTATTCATATAAAAAATTAAGTTAATCGGATATCCATAACCCAATTATTGGATTCTAATTATTTTAAAAACCATTATCAAAATTATGATAGCTATTTATTTTTCACAAAAAAATGTGGTCTTTTTATAAACTTAAGAATATCTAATTAACTTGATTTTTTCATTAATGATCTACTCGACAAATTTTATATTATAAACAGTTCAAATTATCGAAATAGACTCTGAATGATACGTCGATACCCCATGAGCCATAGGGATTCAGATCTCTCTATCGCATAGTTGTAATGGAATATCTCTATCACATATCTAATGGGTATCAATGATGGATCCAAGATTCGAACTTTGAGAGGCAAAAACATATATAACTTCTCATCTTTTGAAATTGTCTTACTAATTACTAGTATAATAATATACATGATTCTTACAATTTTTGATAGGTATAAAAAAATCATTATACTATTTTGTAGCCATTAGATACACAACAGAGGCGATCAGTTCAGTGCAACTTAAACAAACATAAATAAGTTGTAAATTTGTTACACATCCCGGTGCGCCAACAAAAGTACACATGGGCGGAACAAAAAATATTGTTGGGGGTTACATGCTTAATCGAAAATAATTTCAGAAAATTAAATAAATCTAACAAATTACTTTTTTCATTTTCTCTAATATTCCGAACTATGAATTAGAACTTATATAATTGATTAGATCACCATTTTAAGTCATTTTATTAGTTAACCTAATTAAGAAAATAAAAAGTATGCACACATTTTAGATTTTTAGAATAAAAAATAAAGAAAAATACATACCATAAATATATGGTTATTGATTTAGTCGAAAGACACTAAAGTTTGAATGATTCGGATCACTAAGTTGAACCTAAAATGGGTCCAAAAATTACTAAACTGAACCCTCTAGTCCAATTAGTGAATCGGAGGAAACTTGTCCTTGTGTTGTAATATATATGGCACAATCACCTTTGCCTTATCAATAACAACCTCCATCCACAAATCACCTCTAACCTGCCCCTAATGTTGAAAATCACTTCCAACCATTGGAAACTACCTTTAGCAATCACTTTCAACCACTCATTCTTTCATTTTTTTTAGAACAAATTTTTAAAAATATTACAATATAGACAAATTTTTCATACAAATTTATGAAATCATTAAGTTTTGAAATGTGAAATGGAATCCAGTTTATTAATGTGATTAGTGTCATATTGTAGACACCCCATTTTCGACCGTCCTCAAGACTTAGATATGCTTGTAGGTACATCCAGTGACAAGTTCGATTGCTCGTTGAGTATTCGAGTTTCGCGGCAGAACGTCACAGGTTTGAGCTTTCCAAACCCTATATTCTTTCTGTCTCATTTTTGGACCATGTGTTGGCCCTTTCTGCATGCTTCTTGTGAGGCACTGCTGACCACCTTTTGGCTCTGCCGGCCATGTATTTGTCCCTGCCTGCCATTGATGAAGCCTGCCGGCCATCAATGAGGCACTGCCGGCCACCACTGATGGCCGGCAGAACACCTTGTCTCAGCAGATTTTGTGCTAGACCTTTTGAGCCAGCTGGTTTTCACTCATCCCTCCTCCATGCACGTGTATGGAGGGATGAAGCCCTTTTCAAGCTTGTTTAACAAGCTTTGCATTGCATTCCTCTATATAAGGAGAGGCTCCTCCTCCCTTACAGAGGTTCAACATATTTTGAGAAGATATATCTCTCCCTCTATATTTCTTATTCTCTCTCTCTATATTGTGTTTGTTTGTGCCTTAAAGTGCATTTTCCTCTTACTTTTGCATTACAACACCTAGTGATACTCCACCATCTTTGAGCTGAGGTTCTTGGGAGTGTTTTTTGAGCTCTAAAAGTTGGCTTTTGGCCTCAGAGATTGTTGGTTTCGAAGTTGTGCTTCAAGGGTGAGTGTATTCCCCTTTTAAGCTTTTGTTTGTATACCATATTGGCCATCCTTGCATATTGTTTTAGGCCTTGCTTTCAACTGAAAAAGGTTCTATTTTTAAGTGCTTTTGATGGTTGTTTAAGGCCTCTTTGGTGCTGAGGGTGTTCTACCCTCTTGTGTGCCTTGTTTGGCCTTGTTTTGTGCCATGTCTTAAGGCCTTTGAGTTAGTCTTTATTTGGCCTTTTAGCCACTAAAATCCACTGGATTT